CTATCTTTATTCAACTGACTTGTGACCTGATAATACCTTTCTTTTCATTCTATTGAAATTTGCTTCTCTAGGAATACAGCAGCATGAATGTTCTTTTTAGAGAAAATTCTGAATGGATACACAAGCACTAAGCCAGTCCTACTCTGTGTGTTTGTGTGTGTTTGTGTGTGTTTGTGTGTGTGTGGGTTTCTTATTTTGTTTAATGCTTCGGGCTGCAGAAACATAAAGCACTATTATATCTTTATTAGGTGTTGAAAGTGATCATACCATCCACATGGTTCGTGGGGTTGCACCACAAGCAGTCCCAGCTAATAGAGGAGCAACAAACTCTGGGGCACCAGGGACTGGAAACAATCCTGGAACTGCAAGAAGTGTTGGTGGTGGTCTTGGCATAGAGGGTTTTAGTAGCTCATTGTTTCCTGGTCTTGGAATCAATGGTCTTGGTGGTAACGGCAGTTCTGGGTTGTTTGGAGCTGGGTTGCCAGAGCTTGATCAGATGCAACAGCAGCTAAATCAGAATCCTAACATGATGAGAGACTTAATGAACCTGCCTGTCATTCAAAACATGATGAACAATCCTGACCTGATGCGCAACTTGATCATGAACAATCCTCAAATGAGGGAAATCATAGACCGAAATCCTGAACTTGCGCATGTGCTTAATGATCCGAACACTCTTCGGCAGACAATGGAGGCTGCAAGGAATCCTGAAATTATGAGGGAAATGATGAGGAATACAGACAGGGCTATGAGCAACATTGAATCTACTCCAGAAGGATTTAATATGCTCAGACGCATGTATGAAACAGTTCAGGAGCCCTTTTTGAATGCCACTACAATGTCAGGGGAGACTGGGAATGGTGCGGGGTCAAATCCATTTGCAGCCCTCTTAGGGAACCAGGGCACTACACAGTCTACGAATAGGTCCCCAAACACTACGACTGCTGGTTCTGAAGCAACTGATGGGTCTCCTGCTCCAAATACAAATCCACTGCCCAACCCATGGGGCAATGCTGGTAATTGTTAATTCTTCATTGGTGAACTGTAATGTTGTGCACTTGAATGTTTATATTGGTGCTTACAGAATTCTATTCGACTACAGGAGGCACACCAGCAAATAACACAAGATCTACTGCCAGTGAACCAAGAACGCCTGGCGTTGCTGGGTTAGGAGGTCTTGGAATGCCAGAATTGGAAAGGATGACTGGTGACATGCCTGACCCTTCCTTCTTGAATCAGTTGATGCAAAACCCAGCAATAACACAAATGATGCAGAGTGTTCTTTCCAACCCTCAGTATATGAATCAGGTGATTACTTTTCATGTTTAATGAATTGGTACTAATGTGATTTGGCTAATTTTGCAAATTTTCATGCGTGTTATTAGATTTTAAGTTCAAATCCCCAGCTGCGAACTGCAATGGAGTCTAGTCCCCAGTTAAGAGAGATGTTGCAAAATCCAGATTTTCTTCGCCAGCTGGCATCTCCCGAGACACTACAGGTAGTGTCTAATTGGATAGGTCTTGTAGGCAGGTCATTCCTTAAATAACATTTTTCTCTGTTACTGCAGCACCTTATGTCCTTGCAATCACTTTTTTCCCAGTTTGGTCGTCAACAATCCAGCCAGTAAGCACCTTTATCCTATCTCTTCATTTGTTTCTTTTAAATATTGATATTAAATTCAGTCTGCCTGACTGTTTAAATTCCAGCACTTATGAAGAAAACCAATATCTCTGCTGGATCACTTTGCATGTCATGTTCGTTCATTTTCTGTAAAATATTTTTTCAGTATGCGGAAGAGTCGTTTCGTAGGCTAAATTACTAAGCCAGCTTTACTGTTCTTGTAATTTAGGATAAGTTGTATACTGCAATTTTTTTTTTGTTTTTTTTGGCACAAGCTGTGCTGTTTAAAGTTAGGCTGGGAAAATTATTCAAGTAACTTGAATTTGTTAATTAGGTGCATTTATAAGAGGGAAATGAAATATGTAGTTTACCTCCAAATTTCAGGCTTTTCTTGCTGCATTTTTTTTGGGGGTGGGTTTTTTTTTCTGGGGAGCCGCGGGTGGTTGGGGAAGGGTGGCCTGACTGTTTAAATTCCAGCACTTATGAAGAAAACCAATATCTCTGCTGGATCACTTTGCATGTCATGTTCGTTCATTTTCTGTAAAATATTTTTTCAGTATGCGGAAGAGTCGTTTCGTAGGCTAAATTACTAAGCCAGCTTTACTGTTCTTGTAATTTAGGATAAGTTGTATACTGCAATTTTTTTTTTGTTTTTTTTGGCACAAGCTGTGCTGTTTAAAGTTAGGCTGGGAAAATTATTCAAGTAACTTGAATTTGTTAATTAGGTGCATTTATAAGAGGGAAATGAAATATGTAGTTTACCTCCAAATTTCAGGCTTTTCTTGCTGCATTTTTTTTGGGGGTGGGTTTTTTTTTCTGGGGAGCCGCGGGTGGTTGGGGAAGGGTGGGGGGGGCAGGGACTTATTCTCTTCCCGGATCCCTCAGTATGGTCATGTTTTCTATTTTAAAGCTTGTAGTAAACTGCGAGCCTACCTTGGCTCAATGCACCTTTTAGTTCTTAGTGAATAATATGTCCATGGCACAGTAATGAAGCTGGACCTTGCTTATTATTATTATTATTAGTATTATCTCTTGAGCATTCAAGTTTAAAAGTGCACATCATTTACGGGGATGTAGTTTCTCATTTTTCATTTCATGTTTTAGCGGAGCTTCTAATTTCTTCTAAACTGACGTTTGCAGGGGGCAAAACCAGACAGGAGGTGGTGCAGGTAACTACACTCCCAAATAGGCTAGTATTTTGGATTGGTTGGTTAATCTGCCTGTATATGTCACTTTCTATTGACACCTTAAGGCTCCCTTTGACTACACACGCTTTTACTTCTCTGAATGAAGTTCATTAATTCTAGTGTTTGTATTTCCTTCCGGTTACTTAGTTATGTCCTTGTACTGTAGGAATGCCAAACAACATGGATTTTTTGATGAACATGTTCGGTGGTCTCAGTGGTGCTGGTGGTCTTGGTGTTCCCAATCCCTCCAATGGTTAAGCATCTCTTTTAATTTTAGGGTTTCTTTTCTATATATACCCCTTACACGGTTACACCTTACCTTTTTGCAAAACTACCCCCAAATCTCAGTATGCGCAAAGTTACCCTCAAATCATAACTTTGTAAAAAAAGAAATTGTACATTCCCAATTTAGCAAATCGTCAAGATATTTGGCTATTGTGAGTGAAATTTTGACTATTTTCTTGATATTTTTACGTTGCAATTGCAAATTGACCTATCAGAATTGATGATTTGTTGATTGTGGGTTTTTTTTTCTTTTCCTTCCAAAGTTGATGGGTAAGGAGTAGTTCTGCAAATATGCATGGTTTAAGGGTTATATATACAAAAACCCTTTTTTTGCTTGTCATTGATAAAAAATGTCCGTATAGATTTATGCGACTAAACATAAAATCTCTTGTTCTGATGTGGACTTCTTTTTCCAGTGCCACCAGAAGAGTTATATGCAACACAGCTATCTCAGCTCCAGGAAATGGGTTTCTACGACACCCAGGAAAATATTCGCGCGCTCACTGCCACAGCTGGAAACGTCAATGCTGCAGTCGAGAGGCTACTGGGGAACCTTGGTCAGTAGGAGGCTCTTATCAAGCGGCGGGAGACCTTAATCTTTCATCGTGACCTTAATCTTTCATCGTAACCTTAAAAATCTGTATGATTATTGTTTCTTTATATATTTTCTTTTTCCTTTATCTAGCATGGGAATAATTAGAGGTATTGTTCAAAGAGCTTTGAACTTTTTTTTTTAATAATTTCCGTAGTGAGTTATGGGCTGTGTTATTTTTTTGCTTTCTCCAACTTCTCTCCCTTTTATCAAGGTGTTCTTGAAAGGCCCATCACCTTTGTAAATGCGTACTTTTAATACGCTAGTGAATTGTCCATATCGACATGTTATGTTGATTACCGAATTTTCTGATGTATTCTCTCTATTGTACGTAGTGCATGTTGTGTAATTACTGGTTGGTGTTATCTCATAATGATATTCTCAGTGCAGAATTTCACAAATGGTGTGTAGTGGTTATGCTGAGCTTGAGATTGTATTCGCAATAATTATGAATGAATCTTTGATGAATAGGAGAATACACAAGGAAATCTGAGAGTTCTGTGACAAATAGGTGCAAATTTTGATGGTGTTTACCATATTAGAAGCGTATAAAAGATAACCTCCTGACCTCAAAATTGATAAAAGTCTACCGTATGTTTTCAATTGATAATATCCAAGTTCAAATTCTTAGCAATAATATCCGAGAAAATTTGTCTATGAGCGTACTTGGTGATGTTTAAAAGTTCACTAAAAATTAAAATAAATACTGTATTCTAATTTTTCGAACTTGGTCAACTGTTATCCAATGGACCATCAAGTTCAAAATCCGATTTATCATGTCATAAAATCTGCATTATCTCTTTCATTCTATTTGGATGCTATTCAAACAAAACTTTTGCATGCCCGTACATGTTAATCATTAAGTTTGTTGTTAGAAAATTTCAATTATATCTTGTATAAAACTAATAAGTCCAAGTTATAAATAACCGTAAATTCTCAGAAAACCTCCCTGACATTGATGATTAGATCAAAGCACCCTAAAATTTAAAGAGTTTCACGAGATCCCTCTTTTAACTTTTGTTATTCACAAATTGAAACAATCTTTTTAAGTAAAAAGACCTCTGTGTTGTCTGTCAAAATCCTAGAAAACCCCCAACATTTTTCTTTTTGTTTTCTCTACCCTCTTTTCTCCCACTATAAACCTAGAGCAGAATATGTCCCAAAGTTCAGGGTGTATTGTGAAACTCCCCAAAATTTAGGAAGGTTTTCTCTAAAGTTTCAAAGTTCAGGTGTTTTTGTGAAATTTGCCCGAAAACTTTACCGGTCAAAATCAAAACAGGGAAATAAAGGGAAATAGTGAGCCGTTTATAATTTTAAGGGCGAGGGGGGAAGTGAAAACGTAGCAAGGGCTCCTTTTAATCCGTTGGAGCCAAAGTTTCTCGCTTTTTATTTTCTCTTTTTCATTTTTCTGCTTCAAACCCTCAAATTTCTCTTCTTGCGATATCTACAGAGATCGGCGGCAATGCTTGGAGGTAAAATTTTCACCACTTTGTTCTTCTTTACACCGTCTTTCGTATTGAGTATTTGGCGAAGCTGCTGCTTGATCTTTTAGTTTACTGACGGTTTCTGATCAAATTTTACGTTACCCTTTTCTAGGTTTTCTTAAATTTTCTGTTTTGGTTCTTTTTTCTTTGAATTTCTGGCGGTATAGCGGTAGAAACGATGGGAGAATGTTTTGGGCATGTTTAAATTTGGTTGATTGGTGGGTCTATTATAGATTTTGGTGTGATCACATGGAAAATATTATTGGTTTGTTGACTGAACAGAGATGGAAAACTTTGATTTTGGGTTTCGTGATGAATTATTGGGGGAGCGAATTTGATCACTTATAATCAATTGTTGAGCATTTGAATTTATTGGATGTGAAAGATGATGGTTTGGATATGAATTGAGTAATTGGCATGCCTTACGGCTTCCTTTTTTCCCTTGAAGGCTTGCATGTATGTATTGTTAAAAACTGCATTCACTGGATTATGCATCTTTTGGGAAAGTTACCTTAGGTTTTTATTTGGAAAGGATGATGCTTCCTATGACATGTGTAGTCTTTCATGGAGAGGATTATCGAGGATTTACCGTCTTTGCAAGGAGAAACTGAAATATCTTGAAATGCTAGCCACATTTCTCTTCTTGAGAGAATATTCAAATGTAATTTAGATCAGTTAAGGATGACTTGCCTTATTTGCAAATTCGTTGTAAGTGCATAGAATTTAGGAAAACCTCTATATATCAGTTAAATAAATGTCAAAGGTGCCTAGATGTAGAGTGAGGAATAGGTTCGATGTAACTAGTTTCATTATTAAATGACTTACAAGGCAATGAGTGTGGGAAGCAACCTCGTTCATTAATAAGGTAGATAGAGTTAGCTGTAAACTATGACTTAACATTTCGTACAAAGGTGTCTGGTGAATATGTATTTTTTCTAGATTGATTTGCTGTTTTTTAGGTTCTATTTTGGTATATTCAATTGATTCTCATGCAACAAAAGAGGTAAGTACGAGCTTGTGGATGTCATTGAATTTCCTAAATGTACCATGCACTTTTTATCATTTTCTCTTATGTCACTATCGAAAGGTGTGATCATGTGACAACACTGTTATAATTAGTGGTAAATGGCGCCGTAATAGTGGCGTTAATAGCGGTAGCGGTTCCCTCCCGCTACGCTATCCCCCAATAGCGGTGACATACTACGGAATATGCGCTTTCCACTCACAAAAGCAGCCAATAGTGTGCCATAGTGGTAAATAGCGGGCGATTGCAAGAAAAATATGCTTTTTGACCGCTATTTAACATCGGTTTGAGGTTTAGTTTTTTAAAATTAAACATGACACGGAACCACTGCATCCCACCGCCTCCCGCGATTTCTGGCGTATTCCTGCTACCTCCCACAGCCGTCGGCACCTCCCTCAGCACTTCCTCTCACCTCCTCTCACCGTGAGCTCCTCCTACTGCAGTCCTTTCACCGCTCAACCCATCTTCTCGAAGACAACGACTCTTTGACTCCTCCTCTAGTCGTCTTCGTATTATATGATAGTTACATGTCTATTTCACGTTTAGGATATCTTTAAATCATCAAATATGCACTTTTAGATTTTCTAGATTTTTTATAATTTTTCTTATTTTTTTTGAATATTTATACATATCTAAATTAGACCGCTATTTGACTTTGCGTTTTTTACCACTATTTTGCTGCAATAGTCACAAATAGCCTTAGCAATGCCTCACCGCTACGCGACGCTATCCGCTATTGATAACCTTGTGTGACGATGAAGTTTACATAAGTTAGTGATGTCTAACTGCACTGAGATGGTTGGAGCTAATTAGTTTTAAGACTTATGCATCACTATATGCGGTAATGGATATTAAATGATGTTGATCTTGTATGGGCAGATGGTTTATAATGGTCCAACAAACTGTGTTTAGTTGTATTGTTGGGAGCCTTGGAACAAGCCAAGATTTGGAGGATTACTTAAAATTCGTTAGTCATAATTTTATTACTTTGTAACTGGTATTGAAGCATAGTAGGAAACCTTTCTCATAGTGTTCTGAGAGATCTTCGGTTCAAAGTCTTTGCATCAGCCTATGGACTATTTCTCCAGAAAGAGAAAATGTGTTACTTTGTCAATTGCATAGTTGCATAATTTTACCTCAATCTGATATGACTTTGTGATCCAGTTACATGATCTGAACAACTGTTATTTTCTGATACTATATGAGAACTCCACTTTATGTGTTAGTAGAACCTTTGCCCATATTAATCGGATGGTTGTGATGTTGTGGAGCACCTCTCTTCCCTTGGGTGGTTTTAGTATTCACAGTTACCAAAGCTCGCCCATTTGTCATTGACACATATATCATTGTTAATAGAGCTTTTTCTTGGCATTCATAATCAGTTTCATTTTTTTCTTTCCCTTCCAAATCTAACTGAAAGTGCACTGATTTGGGATAACTGTTGCAACATTAGATTTCTACAAAGACTTTTTCCATTTCCATCCTATTCATATTTCTTTGACACTTATGTATTGTCCTTCTAGAAACAGTGAGTACTTTTAAGTTCTCACTTCATGAAGCTTCTTTATGACAGATTTTCTAATGATTGAAATTCTTTACTATAAGCATCTGATATCCATATTGGAACTTCAAAACTTTCTTCTTTATGACAGCTGTAAAATATTTGTTATTGTTTTGTGAGAAAAGCTTATACTATTCACTGGCTCATCTCCAATGATCTCTTGAGGTTCATCTCTTAGCAGATCCCTGATGATCCTTGACCTACTTACTGATTTCAAAATGCTTTTGTTCATTAGCTGGTTTGACCATAGACATGACTAGTTTTATAGTAATTTTTTTAATTCTTTTTTCTTCATGCATAGAAAGATCTTCTGAAACTAGTTATAAATCATTCTCATCTCATTATTCTTTGCATAAAGTGTTTGATCATTATTTTGTCAACACATTTTTTTAATTTGGTGCATGAGTATTTAAATGGAGGTTGTCGACGAAGTACCAGTTCAGGTACTACTACTCATTGGAGGCAAGAGTGATGAGGGGGGCTGGTGAATTACTTGGCATGTGTCCAGATTGCTGACGCTGCTAAGAAACTAAGATGATTAGGGATATTAGGGTTTGGACCCAATTTAAAACCCTCCAAGCCCTAAGTCGGAGGAAAGAACTGAAGATAATGAACAGGGCATTTAAAAGGCCAGAATTTTGGATATGAATGGAGGGATTTGAGTTTATAGACAGTTTATTGAGCTCAAGGAGATGGTCCTGGGCCAATAAGATGGTGACGTTGGGCTGAGTAGGAAGAGAAAGTAAGGACCAAGTAGACCGTAGCTGATAATCCACTAGTTCAATTGGTCTCATGGTATGTGAATGATCATTCGTCGAATCGTTAATCGTTGGTGTGGGACACATGTCAGGCATTTGTTGATGGAAGGCAGGTCGTAAGGTCGAAGCATAAACACCTGCTTGCTCCTTTTGTGATTCACTCCTTAACACTGTGCTGCTTAATCTTTTCCATACTTGGATTGTTCCACTTTGTCCTCAAGTTCCATTTTGCATTTCCTATCTGCACGTCCCTCTCAACATCACAGGCAGTGGTGGTTCAGTCTCATAGTTTGGTTCTACTTGCACTGTACCTTCGTGCTTGATCCCCTTTCTAGTTTCTAGTTATGTTCCTTCCAATGTTTTAAAAGGAGGGAATGGAAGGCAAGCATTGGGCCCATATAGGGTAAGTTTTCAAAGGCGTGAGAGGCATAAGCCTCATAAATTAATTATATTTTATTTTATAGTCTACAATATCATAAGTGCATAATATATAGTGGTATAATAATTTATAAATAGACACTTTCAGGTGGTGGACAATAATAAAAATGCAATAGGCTAAATATAGACATGAATTACAGTAGAGTAGCTACTTTAAACAAATTCTATGTTATCTATAGTCATGTGGCCATATTGAAGACACATGGCCTAAAAGTCACAAGATTTTTGGAAAACTAAACACAATTATTGTATTAGCTCAATAGTAACAAGGGCATGAGCACAGTTTAAGACGAGAGAATTGATTGACTCCTACAGATGAACATAAAACCCATTTAGATTTTAAAAAAAACGAGAAATCAAGCTGAAAATTGTTTTTTTTTTCTTTTTTGTTTTTGTGTGTGGGTGGGTGGGTGGTTTTTTTTTTGGGAGGAGGGGGGGGGGGGGGGTTGGTTGTTTTTTTTTTCTTTTTTGTTTTTGTGTGTGGGTGGGTGGGTGGTTTTTTTTTTGGGAGGAGGGGGAGGGGGGGTGTTGGCAGAAAGGGACACATTTGAGTCTAGTCAAGAACCCTTACCTTCTATCATTGTATTGAAGCGTACGTTTCAAAAGAGAAACCTTGGTCCCCTTCAAGGGGCATTGAGTGCACACTTCAGTTATGCTTCAATTCATTTGGCCTATGCTTCTAGGGACAAATCACTTTTCTCCAAAGGCAACTAAACCAGATTTATCACTTCTCTGAAGACTAGTATTATGCCCCTATTTCAGGAAGAGGTGTGTCAAACTAAGGGCATGAGGTAGGGATATATGTCAAGATGCTTATTGTGGTCAGTTTTCCCTCCCCTTTCATCCCTGTTGCTCTTAGGACCTTCAATGCAGCTTGTTACTACCTTGTATAGAATTCTTTAGGGTATATGGTGGACGTTGCCTCCTCATGTCACTCCATGGTCTTGACCTCAGACTTGTCTTCTTTCAGTACTTATTCTCCTTATTAATGCACATGTTGTACGAGGCTAGGATTTATATATTCGATACAGACCTATTAAAAGTTGATGCATTAGTTCCCATCCTCAACAAGGCTTGAAAGGACAATTATGCATTTGTCCAACACAAGGGACTTTGATTATTCCACCACCATGGAGGAGTCCATTGTGGCTGATCTCTGACAGTGGGGCTTCAAGCACACACGTGCCAGGTGCTGTTGGTTAAGCCC